CACACACACACAAATAAATAAATAAATAAATAAAAATTTAAAAAAAATACTTAAACCCTCTACTGTAAACCCTCTACTGTAAAACTTCTTAAAAAGAAATCTGTAAGCATATACTCATAGAGATTGTACAAGGACTTACGTTTCTGCCACCTGGACAAAACCATCAATCCTCTGCCATTTTCATTTCATTTAATCTCCAATTTTTTATTCTATAAATTTATCATTAATATAATAAGTGATACTATGTCATAGGCTAATTGGAAGGTATTTTCTTTTTCTTTTTTGAGACAGGGTCTCACTGTGTAGTTCAGGTTAGCTGTGAACTCGCTTTGTAGCCCAGGTTGTCCTTGAACTCACAGTGATCCTCCTGCCTCAGCCTCTCAAGTGCTAGGATTACAGGTATGCACCACCACACGCAGCCCAGGTTTTTTCTTTCTTTTTTTTTTGCAGAACCGGGGATTGAACTCAGACCCTTGCACTTGCCAGGCAAGCGCTTATTCTACTGAGCCATCTCCCCGGCCCCTCAGGTTTTTTCTTAGTGATGATAAAACAACAGCACATGTTAATGACTAGTGGCATCATAGATTCCATAAAATGTGATATATGAATGACATATTGTACTGTGGTAACTATGCTGACCTTCTGATAGTAGTACTGATTGGACCATCTTCTTTGTAAAACTTTATTCTATTAGTATCTTCTATTCAGTGAAGGGCTGAGTATGGTTAATTTTGTTTGTTGGTTTGTCTTCTAGAGATTCCAGAAAGTGACATGGTTCCAGGGATCATTTTGGTGAAAGAAGAAGAACTTAGTAGATGTATTGAAGATGTCTATAAGGTTAGTAACTTAAGTTCCTAATATTTCAAGCTAATATTTGTCCTTGGGGCAAGGAAGATGGCTCAGTAGAATAAGCACTTCCCTGGCAAGCACAAGGGCCTGAGTTCAATCCCCAGTTCCGCCAAAACAAACAAACAAAAAAAACTGCTAATATTTGTCCTTTAAAAGTTTTTAAAATTAATTTATTAATTTTTTTGTGATGCTGGGGATTGAACTCAAGGGCATCAGAAATGCCATACAGAAGCCAGGCATGAGGGTACACACCTGTAATCCCCACACACTGGGAGGCTGAGGTAGGAGGATCTGAAGTTCAAGCACAGTATGGGCAATTTAGCAAGACTCTCGATAAAAAGATAAAAATGTCTGAGGAATGTAACTCAGTGTACTGACCCTGTGTTCAATCCCCAGTGCTCCTTCTACCCCAAAGCCAAATAGGCATCTGCTTGGCCCACTGAGGTACTGTATATCCCAAGCCCTTAAAATAATTTTGCCTTTTAACAAAGACTTCAAAAATTGGAGAGGGGAAATGCAAGGGACCAAAAAAAAAAAGGAATGTTAAAATACATATACCTACTTCCTAAGATAAATATAAGCATTATATACTACAAATATGTACTAATTTTAAAAAAGGAATTTGAAGGATTAATCTTAAAGTCTGAGTTGCTAAAATCCTCACTTTGAAAACAAAACTGACTTTTTTCAGTGAAAAAAACTGATATGATTTGAACCCTATTAATTTCATCATATATTCTGAGTATTAAAAGCAATTTGGAAGCCGGACTTGGCGCGTGCCTATAATCTCAACACTTGGGAGGCTGAGGCCGGGGGATCCCTGTGAGTTTGAGGCCAGTCTAGCCAGCCTGGACAACTTGGTGAGACTGTGTCTCAAAACATAAATGAACAAAACAATAAGAACAAAAACCAATTTGGATTCTCTAACTAGCACATACTAGGGCTGAAAGTGCATCTTTTGGTAAAAGCAACAAAGGAACTTTTTTTTTTTTTTTGGTACTGGGGATTGAACTCATGACCTTGTGCTTGCCAGGCAGGTCCTTATGCCACTGAGCTATCTCCCCAGCCCAACAAAGGAACTTTTTAGTGCTATAGGTTTCCTGAAAGTAAATTATAATACTGAATTCAATTTGTAACTTAACAATGAAAGAAGTAATATTACATAAATGAATTGCATAATTGCATAATTGAATTTTGCAAATGACTACTTAAATATACAAGAAAAATAAAATATATATAAATTGTAGGTTCTTTATGATTGCAGTCTTATAAATCTATACATGATACAGAGCTGAAGAGATAGCATGGCAGTCTAAGCACCTGCCTGGCAAGTGCAATGACCTGAGTTTGATCCCCAGTATTGCATGCTGTGCCAGCCCTGGAAGCGGGCATAGTGGCACATGTCTGTAATTCTAGCACTGGGAAGGCTGAGGCAGGAGGATCACTACAAGATCAGACTCGTAGTGATCCTTCTGTTTTTAGCTTCCCAAGCACTAGGATTACAGGTGCGCACCACCACCCCCAGTCTCAATTGCTGTCTCTGTGTGCCCCTGGGGCGGGGCCAGCGCCACACTCCAAGGATTGAATCCCAGTCCCTGCATCTACCTAAGCAGGCGTTTTAATCTGTTGAGCTATCTGGTCAGCCCTAATTCATTAATTTTTATTGCTGGTGTTGTGTTCCATTGTATGATTATACCATTACTTATTTTTTGTTCTTTTTTTTAAACATTTTTTTTCTTTTTTTTAAGATATATTTTCTTTTTTTAAAAAAATATTTATTTATTTATTTATTTGTCTGTGTGTGGCCAGCTCAGCCCACCAGGGGGCGGGGCTGGCTGGCATGTGGTACTGGGGGATTGAACCGCGGTCCTTGTGCTTTGCTTAGCTTGTTCTAAGTAGGCGCTTTAGACCACTGAGCCATCTCACCAGCCCTTATTTTTTGTTCTATTCATGGATTTATTTCTGAGGAATCTTCTGACTACATTGTGGGGTTTTGTTTTGTGTTTGCTTGTTTTTGTGTTACTGGAGATGGAACCTAGGGCCTTTGCCCTGAGCTGCATCCCTAATTTGTTTTATATTTTTAGACAGAGTCTGGCTCAGTTGCTCAAGTTGAATTCATACTTGCAGTCCTCCTGTTTTAATCTCTCAAAGATCTGGGATTACAGTGTGTGCCACCATGTCTAGCACATTTTGGTTTTATTTTTTATTTTTTAAATTTTTTGTGGAACCAGGGATTGAACTCAGACCCTTGAGCTTGCCGCAGGCAAGCACTTATTCTACTGTGTTATCTCCCTGGCCCCCACATTTTGGATTTAAATAAGTATTTCTCATTTTAGTGGGACTTTTTGTTATTTATTTGTTTGTCGTATTTCCTTTTCCATAAATTGCCTATTCAAGTCAGGAGTAATGACACATGCCTATGGTACCAGCATCCTGGGAGGCTGAGGCAGAATTGCAAGTTTGAACCAAAGCTGGACAATTTCATGATCTAGCGAGACTCTATCTAAAAATTAAAAGATAGAGCTAGGATGTAGCTCAGTGTGAAGACCCTGGATTCAATACCTAGTTTCTCAATAACAAGTAGCCTTTTCAAGTAGTTGGTCCATTTAAGAAAAACTGGACCAATTACCTCTTTGAAACTTTTTTAGCTTGTCCTTTTCTTTAAACGAAATAAACAAATGGGAGCCAAGGATACAGCTTGGGGCACAAGTGCAAGGTTCTGAGTTCAGTTCTTAGTACAAAAAAAAAAAAAAAAAAAGCAAGAGGGGGAAAAAAGACCTATCCATACTATAAAAATCATCTGTCTTAAATATATAGTTCAGTGAATTTTTTTTCAAAGTAAATTTACATATTTATGAAACCATTTCCACATTTCCTTCATCTGTGCCATTTATAGTTGTTCCCTGTTTTTACCCCTGGCTCCAGGCAGCCATTGCTCTGTTCTCTGCCTCTATGAATTTGCCTTTTTGTGGATATTTCATATAATGTAATCATGGAATGTGTGTTCTTTTGTGTCTAACTTTTGTTATTTAACATAGTATTTCTCGGGTTTGTTCAGGTTGTTGGATATATCAGATTTTGTTTCTTTTAATTGCTAAATAAGGGCTGGGGAGATAACTCACCAGTCTAAACACCTTCCTGCCAAGTGCAAGGACCCAAGTTCAATCCCTGGTACCACATGCCATGCCAGTCCCGGGCCCTGAGTCAGCCAGCTAAACTGGCTGTGGTGGTGCACGCCTATAATCCCAGTGCTGGGGGTGCTGAGACAAAGAGGATTATTATGAGTCCAAGCTCTGGAAGGTTAACAACCTAAGTTAGCAGACCAAAATTAGAGAAACAGGAGGGCTGCAAGGAAAGCCAACATTTTGGCCCTAGCCTTCCAAGGTCAATTAAGATTCAGGACATATGAGAACTTGTACTGTAACGTCATGTAACTC